TCAGCCTGAAATTTCCTACAATTTAAAAAGAAAACATATCCTTACAATAGGAAAGCGCTGACGCTGACACGGGACGAGTGTAATCTAGAAATTTTTGAAGGAGAGAAAGGAGTATGACAATCAAGGAGGCCATAAACGCGCCCTACAATTATTGTAGGGACGACTGACGATACGGCCCTTAGTCTCTAACAGCAAGCCAGAATCCAGCTAATTTTAATTAATATTTCAAAACGCTTGAATGCGAAGGTTAAGCGATACTGAAGCTTATTTATGAGCCAAAGCCGCTTTTTTTATTCAAAAAAAGTATATTTAGATGTACTTGATAAACTTTTAAAGGACACTAGTACACACGCATGTGGAAGAGAGAGAGAGATTTCATATACACCGAACCTGAAATACATTATGACACAATGGCTATAGCGGATGGCCTGCGATTGTTCTCGACATTTTTGACTCCACCAGGGGCTTGATTCTTAATGAGTTTCGACCGTTGAAATTGATTTCGATGGCGCCTTGTGACGATATACTTGATTAGCTATGATAATTTTGACACAGCCATGAGAATTTGAATATAGAAGATCAATATAATCAGATGTCAAAACTGTCATAGCGAATCAAGTATATCATCGGAGTCAATTTCAACGGTCGAAACTCATTTAGAATCAAGCCCCAGGATTCTATGAGTTGACCCAAATATATCTAGTCCTCACGACTAGTCCCTATTTCGACGTTTCGCGGATAACGGTAATAAGAATTTCTTTCATTTGAAGCAGCCTATTTTCATAATTCTCTGTTTTCAAGGAAGGTGCGTACACAATAATGAATCTTTCCCTATATTTCTGTGGAGAGATCTCAATTTTGTGGACTTGCGACTCTGGTGGATAATTCTTCTGCCTGAACTGAAAATCTATGCACTGATTTTGTCATCAGCTAATGGCTTCGATCCAGCTCATCCACAAAGATATAAAAGCCACCACCCGAACATTCTGTGAATGCTGCGTAAAACGAGGAACAAATGGCCCCTTATTCCATCTCGCCGCCATTATCTCATTTAACTGTTTATCGAATACACATTACCTAATTTTCGGGCTTCGTGTGACCTGAGTATAATGCTTGTATCATACTGTTAAGCAGAATAGGTTCGATCCTTGTTTTTTCAGTTCTGTACGATATTTTTCACATATTTGTTCATATTTGTTATGGTTACCTCCCGAACGAAGTACCTGAAGATCTGTTGTTACTTCCTATGTCAAAACTAGTGAAGAAGTATTGAATATGTTTTTGGGTGGTATATGACATGTACATCACAAAAAACCATGTCACTCATTTCCGTACCTCTGTCTGCGGTCTATCGCTCTGTCAGTCTGTCCGCTAATTTCACAACCGCCTATAACTTCGAATATTGATGAATTTTTTACACAAGGCTTACTATGCCAAGGATGAAAAGACTCTATTTTTTTAAAATTGGGCTAGCGGTGATCGACATAGGGGCAAAAACACGAAAAAATAAAAATCGCTTAGGCTTTGTTTTTTGACGTTTCCGAAGCTCTTGATCATTTTCGGGAATTTTTTTGTACGGGTTGAAACGGGGGTTGTAGTGGGTAAGGGGTTGTTAATATAACGTCAAATTCAAAGACGTTCTATCATTAAGAAGCTGCTGATCACGTAACGACGGGAGAATTAAATGATAATAGTCCGACGTATAGTGCGCTCATAATTCGAGATAACTTGGCAATCGTTGGCGTTGGCCCCAACAGGTCTGCGGTGGTGTCGTCGCTGACACACCGCTACAAGAGATATTTTTGAATTTTTTAGCAATATTTGGATATTAGGACTACGTACCACTTAAGCGTTCTGCGATGGTTTGTCAATGATAAAACTGTTTTTATATCTACACATACATTTTATAATCCATAAATGAACCACTGATTTTGCATAACCTTTAATTTGTGTTGCTCCGTCTATGATGATTCTAAAAATTTCATCAAGTATTGACTCATGACGCATTGATATACAACAGACTCGTACTGACACACCGACATAAATCAGAAGCACGAACTTGTGTGATTCCGATATCTTTAAACAACCGAAAACTTGTGAACCGAAATTCGAATATTTTCGCGAGTTTGGTCTTGGTAGTCATTGGTATTGAAAACTGATTAAGAGGCGGAGGAAATAAAACCACTGGAACATAGTGTTACAACGTTTCCGAGATTCCTGCTCATTTTCAGACATCGTTTGTAGGGGATGAGAATTGTATGTTAGAAGCTGAAGCGGTAAATAGTTGTAAATTGTTGCATATTTGGTGTCAGTGAAAGATCTTCTTTATTAAGAAACTGCTGATCTATGCACCTGTTAGACATATTTAGCCGTATTGATAAAAGAGAAGCATATCCTCGGAAGCATAAGGTAAAAGTATAAGGTCTTGCTTTGGAGAAAAAGGTAGAAGTATAAGCATATCCTTGTTTTTATATTCATGATTACTTTGTACTCGCGAGGATATCCTTCAAGAAGAAGTAAAAGGTTGCTGTCGGAAATGGATACATCCTTTGCCATATCTGCTTGTCCTCCATCAGTTCATGGTTGGTAGTTGGAAACTTGATCAATTCGTTCGACTACGCAACTATGCTGTTCACAACTCTATCCACAGTCCGACCGTTGCTTGACTAAAACCAAATTCCTGATCAATACCTTGTTGATATCCAGGGTCACCGAGATAGCGTAGATATATCTTCATTTTATAAATACATGAAAGTGCTCCTCCTCGAGTTTCCTCATTCTCAACTAAAAATCTGTCCGCGAGCCATTGTATATTTGCTTCGTCGAAACGATATAATTTTTTGAAGTCACGACCAAGTGAAGGTAAACGAGGTTTGCACGTTTTAACATCCCTAACATCCACAATTTCCGCCATCATCGTTTGACGTTGAGTCTGCTACTGACCACACTCAGAATTTTTGAAGGATATGCTTCCTATGCCAAGTATAAGGTGAAGATTATGAATATCCTTTTACTTATGTCACTGCTTTGAAGGATATGCTTATACTCAAAAAGCATAAGCATTTACTTAAGATTATTATAAATACCATCTGGAGGACTTGCTTCAAAATTTGCAAGTACATGGATATCCTTTGTTTTGTGAATACAGCCTAATAAGTCACACACATTTTCCCTACATCTGCGATGCTTTTATTGTTTGATATGCCTAGGTCGAAGATTAATCATACCTAAGTGAACCTACCTAATCACGATGCGATTTCGCTTGTTGAAATGATCTAAATCATCTCTCTTCTTTGAAACCAACGAATGCGAAAGAAGTCAATCATCTTGATGCCATTTATAAAATGAAAACAAAATAGTTTATTTACATAGAATTCTATTAGCTAATAGCCCAAATGTTCCGTGAAAGTCAACCTACAGCTATGATGACGTCACTCCCGCGTTCTGTCATCACCAAGTCATCGTTGACATCAAACAGCTTTTATAGAAGACCAGTCCAAGATGTCAGATTCCGGTGCCCAAAAAGCTGTCACACACTCTTATAGGTCAAGAGTCATCCGCCATCGATTTTAAATCGATTATTCTGGGTTACAAAAGTTGTGCTTTGACCAGGAAGCAAATTGGGCTCTTTCTAATGCAACTAGTATACATGCTATTGAGAAACGCACCGACATCCCCGCCGCCAAATTTTTTACCCCAATTTTTTTTCAATGATCCCTTAGAATCGTCAAAAAACAGACCGTCAGACAGACACACTGACTGACAAACTGACAGAAATTAGTGACATTGTTTTTCGTGATTTATATGTCATATAATAATAATAACAGTAATAAGTGCTTTGTATTGCCTAGCTGAGTACACAAAAAAATCTTACTACAGTATATAAAGATCCGTTATACTTAAGATGAACGTTAGTTCAAAAAATGTGCCTTAGAAAAATATCACAGTCACCATCCTCAATTGAGTATAGCTACCCTTGAACCATGAGCATTCTTTTTTGTGTGCATAAGCTCAAATATCTTCTAATAAACATGACGTTTCCATTGATAGTGGATTAAGGTATATACGGTTTCGAGCAAATCGCCGGTCTCCGCACGTACAGGCGTAAATGACAATAAAAATCGATTTACGCCGTAATTTCACATATTTTTTTGTAGTCTCTCACCTCATCATGTGACGTAACTGTATCAGTTTGCAACGTAAAAATAAAATTCTTGCGTAAGTAATACAATTCCGAAAACAGTTTTCACGTACCGGCTTAAATAGATTTACGATTATGCGTTGAAACTGGTTTTCTGTATTTGACCGATAATTATACAGCACGTACCGGTGCATGTGTCTCCTATAATATGTAAAAATAACCTATAAATATTGTTGTGGTGTTGTGAATGTTTTTTTTGTCAGTTACTTTTTGTTGTGCTTATAATATTGTAGATAATAAAAAAAATATTTTTGTAACAGTACGTTCGATACTTTGATACCCATGTCCAGTTTTAAAATGTTGGCATAACTACACAATTTAAGAAACAAGAATCGTCACGAAGTGGCGTAAATGTACAGAAAAAAATTTTCAAAACTCATTTTACTTGTACAAAATTAAACCTTCCCGAAACAAAGTTCATAATTTTAGTCTAACAAAAATAGCAACGTGCAGAATAAAAAATCAGTATCTCATTTTCAATCTTATTTACTGCTGATTGTCGTTTTCTAGCTCTCCTGCAAAATTTGGAAGATGTTAGTTACGCCGGTACGTGCGGACACCGACGATTATGTATATTGATGGATTTTGACATATGTGGTGTAGTTGGATTTGTTTTAACAGTACGAATGACAATGGGTCTATTAAGATTTTATAGAAAAAAGTGGCGGAACTTAGACTTCAGACCTGAAATTTCTATTCCTCGACTACAGCCCAAGCGACCTGGTCGATTTTCATATTTGAGATGTACTTAAATTTTTCTTGATAGCGCAATCAAAAATTTGCGCTTTTCACTTACAGCAAAAGTTTTTATTTGGTATCAATAGTGCCATAATCCACATATAATGTCACATATTTATAATTCAACGTCCATGATAAATAGGGATCTAGATGCTTTTGAAAGAAACTTATAATCATGTTCTTATGGAAGGTATCCATATTGTTTCCTTAGCTTTAAAATTGCTACTTCATCCACAATAAATTCCAAAATCAGAGTAATGAATCCGAAGATATACCCTAAAGCCAACAGCGCAAATGTTCCCTGCAAGTGGTCCATAGACAATGCACTGAACTGCTTCACACCTTCTTTATCATTCTTAGCATTCTTCAACTCTATTAGGACAGTTTGATTATAGACTAAATGTTCCATAATTGCTCCTTGGGTCAACTGACCAATTACTCTGTTGATTTTTTTTAGAAGAGGATGTCCTTGTCTTGCAAGGATACTGACATAGTACGTCATCAACTGTCTTTTGAATATGAATACCTTGGGATCTCCGTCAGTATCTGTGGCGACATCTGAATGTGCTAGAAGGTATTCTGCGTAAAGCCTGCTTGATATCGTCCAGATATTCCTTTCTTCTGCTACCTTGTTGATCCAGTAAAGCACCGTATCATTTTCATCGTCTGCTTCTTGGTAAGCATCGTATATTTTCTTCACTTGTGGTTCGGATACGTTAAATAGTGACTTAAGTCTCTGCAGGCCTCCTACACCTACTCTCAGGTTTCCGAAAGAGTCATAGATTTCTGAGTTTTCTGTATACTGATGTTCCCTAATAGGGTTTTTCAAATATTTCAACAAGTATACAGTATAGATAGCATATAGAACAATACCAAATACTGCTAAACTAACAAAAAACAATCTGGTTAGATCACTCTTAGGCTGAAATTCAGATGTGGATAGCATAACTTTAAATGACGCCTCTAACGAGGTATCGATTTTCTTGTAAGCACTGACGGTCTCCGATACTTTAGCAGTGAGGTAAAACATGAGGGCATAGAAAAGAAGTGCTCCGAAGCATACACCCCATATCTCCAAATTAAACATGGCAATAAAGGCCCGCCATTTTGGCACTAAGCGTGCCTTAGGCACCACCCAGACCCGTGGCTCCATATGGTAGATTTCAGAGTAATCAAAGTCTCTGTCATAACCCATTCCAGGATCTACATTCCCTATACCAAGGTACATGTTAATAAATATATCTTCCAAATCTCCTGTCCACTCATCATTCAGTACGTCTCCCCATCCTGAGGAATTGCTAAGGGTAATATTGAAATGTATATTGAGCTTCTGCCCGATGATACGAAGTAGTTCTATTTCGAAACCTTCGCCTTCATTAATGACAAATGGTTGAAATTCTTTGGCTCTCACCCCCAAAGTACAGTTGTACATGTTTCTGCCTAGACCGACATTAAAGTAGCGTTTCTTGATATGCCTCATCTTCCCTGAAATCAGATTTGAATCAATACAAAACATACAAGTATAAAATAAGATGTCAATATTCCGGGAGCATTTATAACACAAAAAATAACGGCTGAACTGGCTAACCGCCGACTACGTTGTTTCATGCTTTTTAATAATCGTCAGTCTAATCGCTGAAGACACACAAACGAAAAAAAAACAAGCGGCATGATTTGCTGAAAATGTTAAATCAGTATGTCGAGAGGAAAGAGGTGACTTCAGTAATAACTGCCACTTACAAATAGTTCACCAAAGCCTGATACATTTTCGGCCCACGCGTTTGAAATGTATGCCTCTGGCCTGCACTGAATGACACTTATTTTTCTGTGAACAGATAGATGTCCCCTACCATCGTTGCAAAGCTAGAATGCAGCTGCAATGTATTTCCACATGACTAGACCTATAGTGATGATCAGGGATTCACTACTTGACTCGATTTTCAAGCTACTTCACTTGACTTAACTTGAAATCAAGTCAGGCTCAAGTCAAGTATTATATATTCGTCATAATATCAAGTCAAGATGTTTTTGTCAACTCCAGTCACTTGAAAATTCAAGTAGTCTTGACACTATTTGATAATTTTTGTAATATAAATACAAGTGAGATCCAAGAACACAACGAAAACACTTTTATTTTACAAGTTACAGAGAAAACTAAAATATATATTGAACAAAATAATCTGATGATCGTCCAACAAATAACAGAACGATAAAACTGTAAACACAAATAATATATGTTATGTATAGTCATGATTAGGGAGTGACTACTTGACTCGATTTTCAAGCTAAGTTGACTGGACTTGAAGTAAAGTCAAGCTCAAGTCAAGTATTAGATATTCAATATAATGTCAAGTCAAGTTGGTTTCGTGTCAAGTCAAGTCAAGTTACTTGAAAATTCAAGTGGTCTTGATACTATTTTAGCTGTGTATAATTTTTGTAATATAAATACAAGTAACATCCAAGTACACAACGAAATCACTTTTATTTTACAAGTTACAGAGAAAACTAAAATATACCTATATATATTGAACAAAATAATCTGATGACCGTCCAACAAATAACAGAACGATAAAACTGTAAACTCAAATAATATATGTTATATATAGTAATGATTAGGTAGTCACTACTGACTCGATCTTCAAGCTTCTTAACTTCACTTCACACAAGTCAAGCTCAAGTCAAGTATTAGTTAATCAGTATAATATCAAGTCAAGTTGTTTTTAAGTCAACTCAAGTTACTTGGCAATACAAGTGGTCTTGATACTGCTTGATAATTTGTGTAATATAAATACAAGTAAGATCCAAGTACACAACGGATACACTTTTATTTTGCAAGTTACAGAAAAAACTAAAATACATATTGAACAAGACAATCTGATGATCGTCTAACAAATAACAGAACGATAAAACTGTAAGCTCAAATAAAAGTAAACATTTCCTCATCAGCTGATACAAAAAAACAGGAAAATTTTAGATTAACTTTTCATTCGCTATCCACGAATTAAGACATAATATCGCTCAATCTGTTGTGGGGTTTCATGATGCTCATTGCTGCTTTAGAAAATTCCCTTTCAATAGTTGCTGATGTTGTAGGTATTGATAAAAAACTTGTTCCCGTTAAAGCTAGATTTGGGAATACACTTTCATGTCTTTTCCACCACTCGAGAATGGTTTCGGATCAATCAGCTCGTGGGCTACTCGTTTATTTATCTATTTCGTAACGCCAAGATGCTTCATGTTGTAGACGCATCAAAGAAGTGTTAAATAAACTGAAAATGTCTATATGGAACTCTCCTTTACCTCGGTTTTCACTTGTTCTTAAGGACGATTGGATCGGTGGAGGGAACTTGAAATATTTTGTTCTAAATATATTTTCGAAACACGAAACTGCCTCTGTTTCTAAAGATTTTCCCCAATTTGTGCAAGAAAGTGTTTCTAATTTATGCCTTGGACCTAAAATTAAGACAACACAGTACATCCAGTTCGTCTTCTTATAATGTTTTAACATTTTGTCTCTTGTCGCCTGGACGCTAATTATTGTTTCATCAGTCTCATCCCGTTCTGCCTCATTGTCAAGGTCGTATGCCCACTTCTCTAAGTTGTCCAAAAGCGTATTTATCCCAATTATTACCATCGGAAGTATGCAATAGGTTTGACCCTCTAATGTGGTAGAAAGGGTTGTTAAAGCTTTTCAGATACGAGTACTGACATACTCTCTCTAATTATGACCATTCTTTGTCATTTAGTTTTAAGATTTTAATGTTTTCTGTGTTATCACATATGTTCAATGCACTTTTCATGTTCAAGCTCCTCTGTAACATTTTAAAAGTTGACTTCCAGCGTGTTATTATATCAACTTTTGACATAGTCATTTTTAAATTTATGGTATTTTTCAAAATTACTCCGCTAATGTTCCGAATTTTTCAGTTTCTTTGCGACACCAGCGATCTTTTGTATGGGCGAATTCATTTCTTTGATAATTTCTTCATCATCATTGTCACTTTCGTCAGAATAATTTTCGAATTCGGAATGAAGTAGTATTTTCATAAAATCTCTTGCATTTTAATTTATTATATGTGCAAAACACGCAAAATACGTGTTTTCAGAGTCGATAGTACAAATAAAGTTTCTGAGTTCCTTTATGAATGTGAAGTTGCTAATTGAATTATCAACGGTAATCCCTTGTACAGAATCTACTAAGTCATAGAAATGAACTATGTCGGAAAATAATAATATAGACCCCAGTATGCTCGCCATGCGCTGTAACAAAATCTAAGAATGGAATGCAACTTCCAGTTGATGCCTATAAAATGCGCAGTTATCCTGTAATATTCCGTCATATTAAACAGAGATCAACAATCGATTGTGAACGAGATTTTCGAGTTACATTGCTTTAAGATACTTTTAAGAGCAGCCTGTATTTTCTCAAACTTATCCAGCCACAATCAATACATTTCGTTTCTACCAGGTAATTTTACGTGCGTGTTTGAGAACACCCCTTATCTCATCTTCGAAAACATTAAACGGAAGATATTTCTTCACTATATATTCTACGAGTAACTGTCGAAATGCATCTGGTTTAAAATTGGTGCAAGTACCAAAAGTACCCTGATTTCTATTTTCGAGTGAGCGCCATAATGAACGGTAGTTGTACTATAACTTACTATGCAGGCGTATTTTTAATTTAAGGCTACAAAATTCATTTTGCCAGTATTATATTAGGGGATTTTTGTTCATTCTCGTTTATACGTACGTTTATTTATAATTTTTATCACAAACGTTGCTCGCGCGTTGCCGTTGCTTGGTCAGTGGTGGTAGCATGTACTAATAATCCAGTCAAGTTATGTCAATCTGGTGTAGACTCTGCAGTAAACAAGGCATAACATTCTGTGGAAGGTACCTATTTACTGAAACTTTGATATGAAAAAGGTGTAGTGCTACTCCGAAAATTAGGAAATTGGAAAATTGCTATATTGGAAAATTGAATAGTTGAGAAACTAGAAAATGGTACATTGAAAGTTTCCGGAATTTTAAAATTTTGAAATTACCAAATTTTTAAAAAGGGCTAACCGAACATTATCATTCTAGAAATGATCGTTGCGTAGAAAGTGTAGGATCAGCCTACTTGACGACCTTTTTTCAACTCATTTATGAAGTACATATAAAAATCTTGAATTACCTTTCGAACAAAGTACCTATAAATCACATAGTAAGGAGTATATTATGTTCCTAATTTTTCTGGTTTGGCGTGTAGCTAAGGGGGGCCCGGGCGGCTGAAGCCCACGCTACGCCACTGTTTCTATCACCTAATCTTAAAAATGCAATAGATCTCCTAATCGTTCTCCCCTACTATTATGTGCTTATATTATTGCAACAGCAGAAATAGCAGCATACCTGTTCATTGATCTTGCCACTGAGCCAACTCAAAATGCTGTCATTTCTGGCACTTCCGCTTCCGGAAAGTGATGATACCTCTGATTTTCCAAAATGTGCTTTTCAGGTTTGGGAGTGCTTGTACGTCGCAAGGCTAATTTCCCGCGATTTTTCATTTTTAGAATAACAGTTTTTGTTGTACATAATGTGCACTTTGCTTGTTTGTCAGTATTCTTCTTACTCGCAGGATCTTGCTCGACGATGAAATATTCGGTTATTTTTATCCTGCCGGCCTTTTTGCGTTTACACCGTGTGATATCTTGAACTTTCTTGCGGTATATATTCTGACCGGCTATCTTCAAACGGTTCAGATTCTGTTTCATATGGATCACCCATTTCTACAAGCTTATTGCAAACCGAATCATTTAAACTACTCTTCAACGTTTGCGGGTAAGAAAAATGTTTACATGTAATTATATGCAGGTTGATACAGGAACGATCTATCAAGCCGCCGCAGGGCGCAGGCCACAGAAGTTCTATGTATGTCGCTTCCCCTCCGGCCAAGCCGTGTGAAAAGAAGTATGTTCAAGTGGTGTTGATAATCTGTATATGGGCTTAAGGAAATTCTAAATGACAAGTAAATTTTCGAAGCACTTCAATTTAGCTTAAGGGAGAGTGGGGGAATTGTGCGCACCTAAGCAAGATGTGCTTCCATGACTAGACCATTGACCTTATTACACTCATACTTATAGAAATTTAAAGAGCATTTACTATATTATAGTTTTATTATGTAAAAAGAAATATTCTTTTACTTTTTTATAGAACCAGTAGTACAAGAAAAAACAGAAAAGTGATGTGCGCACAATTCCCCGCCCTATGGGGTAATTGTACGCAGAAGGTGGGGAACTGTGCGCATTATTTTATATATTTTTTAATGATGAAAAATAACAAATCAAGAACTTTTATTACATATTTATTAACATCTTACTGACATAAAAGTTTTTCTAAGTCTATTAAAAATAACTTTAATTACCAGTGGCAATAATAGGTAACCTGCAGCTCGATCAGCACCACTACATGCTGTATGATTCCATGTGGAACAGCCAACGCAT